AATTTTTTTTTTCTTTTTTTTTTTTTTTTTTTTTTCACTGGAACTGCAGCTTTCTTAAAGTAATTTTTTTTTTAAACGAAGGGAAGAATCATACTTCTAACTTGCACAATCCATTCATTACATGTTAAAGTGTATCATTCCGTGTATTAATATCAATTAATGTTCTTTATTAGAAATTAATTCAGTCCAGCTTACAAGTAATACTGACCTAAAAAAAGTGCTGCTGTTTTTTTTTTTAATAAATATTATTTATTTTAAATTTTTAACTACATTCAATAAACCAAGATTGGTTTCTAGGTGTTTTGGCTTCAGAGTATACGTATGATTTAAAGGAAGTCAGCTGTGCAGCTGTGACACACGATTAGAGTAGTGAATTGAATTAGGAAAATTCTGCTGCAGGCAAAACCTGCAGTGTCCTCTGGTGCTTGTAACAATGAGTAGTTGATATGAATATCAACGTAAGTCAGGTGCATGAATATCAACGTGAGTCAGGTGCAGTGAGAGAAGTAAAGAACACGGCTGAAAATAGTCAAATTATGCCGTTCCTCATCTATTGCTTTGGCTTGCTGCAGTGAAGTTGAAAAAAGTGATAGCCTGTGGTAAGGCTGGTTTTAGTGGATAAACCCTTCTTTTTCCTAGACTTGTAGAAGTGTATGTCAAACATACAGATACCCCTTCTTATTTCCTAGACTTGTAGAAGTGTATGTCAAACATACAATAATGTGCTAATTATGTTGTTGTTAAGAACTGAGTGACTCCCAAGGTGGGCAAAGGAAATAAAGCATAAAACCTCCATCATTAGGGTAGTTGGCATTTGCTGTTTTAAAGTTCTGATAGTGCAGGCCATGTCTGAGCTGGCACAGATTCTTTTAGCTTATGTGTAGTATAGAAGAAAAATTCATTTTTGGGTATGGAACAAGCTTAGAAAAAAAATGTAGAGACTTCCTGGCACAAATATACAGTAGTAGCTAGCTGAAATGATGTATTGGAAGCCACTTAGGTGAATGAATTACCCTGGTTAGTTGGTAGGAACTCACTCCATTTTTACTTTTCAGGTACTCAAAGATACTAAATTTCAGACTGCAGTATAGACCAAGTGCACATTTTTAAAATCCCGTTTACTTGGTCTTGACCATAGTAATGTGTGCAGTCTAATAATAAGAATGGTTAGGATGTACTGCATTAGTTAAGAAAAGAATGTATCAAATTATTTTTAGTGCTGTTGTGAAGAAACATAGTGAAACACTGTAGTATGCAGATCTGAATATTCTTACTTTAGTCGGTATTAGTTTAGACCATCAGCTTCCTCTCCTGTTTGCTTGCTCTGGTTTTGAGCTCTTAAACAATTTGTGATGCTATTTAACATGCCACAGACTATTTGGGTGCAGCTAAATGAGTAAAATCAACCAAAGGAGAAGAGATAAGGCTATAATTTGCTCATTAAGTCAAAATCTTGATGTTATTTTAAGATTTTTTGGTCTTATTTTATAGCTTCACACTTTCTCAGACTTCACCAACTGCAAGTGTTCTAATGGATAAAAGAGGCTTTAAAGAAGCCCTTAGGATAGAGTATGGCTTTAGAGATAAAATGTTAAGCAAAGGCCTAATCTTAGATAAAGATTAAATACATAATTAGGGAAATACTTTTGACATAGAGCAGTCTCGGTAGGGCTATCGAGATGTCTGCGAAATATTTTCAATGTGAAGGGAAATGAAAAGCAGTCTTGACATTTTAAACAAAAACCAACAAAAATATCTCTGTAGATGAAAGCCTCGGATGATGATGATGACAGTGAGGACGAAGATGAATTTGTGGAGGTCCCTGAGAAGGAAGGTTATGAGCCCCACATTCCAGACCACCTGCGTAAGGAATATGGTGAGTTTGCCCAGCTGTGACAAGCTTTATCCCTGCATGTTACTGCTGCACTAAAGTAAATAAACAGCCATTCTGAAGTAATAAAGTGATCAGCAGTGTGGGTAATCTCTGACTGCTGTGAGGAAGTCATTACATAGATACGGGAGCAGCGATTGGCTCTAGATAAACAAATACTTTCTAGGAGCAAGAGCAACAGAGACAGGAAGCTTATTTCATTCCATCATGTTCCACTGTAGTTTAGAGCCAGAAGCAGCACCATGTATGTTTGTAAGTGTGCTAAACGCTTACTGGGAGTGAAGGGATTGCAAAGTAAAGTTGTAAATGAGCCTGAATATTAGAAATATGGGGAACAGTCTGGTGAGATGGGATGAGGTTTTCTACTATCACCTGCATTAATAGCAGATGGAAATGCGCAGCCGCTGCCTTCCATAGGGTGCCCAACTTACAGCTCAGAAAGAAGGCTTTTTTTTTGTTTGGGTGCTGCTATCACAAGGTGTTAAATGGACCTCAGCCTTCAAGCGCAGAATTACAGCTACTGAGCTCATACCAGATGGCAAAATGTAATCTTGTCTTCTTTTAATGCATTCTAAAGGTATTTTTTAAAATATATACTTGTGTTTTTGTGAAATCAAGAGTTACTGAGGAAAGTTCACCTCAAATAACTAAATTTCAGTGCATTACTCCTTGTCCTTTGTACATCTAACTTATTGTCTGCAGCTTTGCCTCTGTGTAGCATTGTGTATTTTGAGATTCAGATTTTAGTACGTTGTAGAGGAGAGGGTAGCTGCCATCACATAGAAGTTAAAAACCTTGGATGCTTTAATAGGTTTCTTGTTCCTACATTTCTCCATGAGTATTTGTGTAAGACTGGTGCTGTGTTGTGCCTTTTTCAATCCTGTTCATGCTTATTTTTAACTTAATCTGCAGTTTGAATCATACAAGTCAAGCTGCAGCTATTACTTGTATAAGCCAAATGTTTCTTTTTGCTGAAGCAGGGGGGTGTGCCTGTGTAAACCCAAGGTAATGTGGCTCAAGTAACCTTTTTATTGTCTTCTGCCATCAAATTTGGCTACAAACAGTGAAGGATCATCAGTGATGATAACTCATAGTGGCTGGGGTCAGCTCAAGGACGTCTCCGGGTGTGAAGTCCTGCTAGTGCCTCAGTTTATCTACCCCACCTAGACTTAACCTACCAGGACACCCTGGGAAGTAAGGCCTGCATTGATTATCTGTGTATCTGTGTTCCCCACCTAAGGACTTGCAGCAAGTCCAACTGGCTGGTTCCAGTTTGTTTGAAGGAGGTAGATGTATCTGTTCCTCCGTGCCTTTAAAAATAGGTGTAAATTAGCAACTGCATAGAGAATAGAGATTAGATTAGTGCCCTGGTGAGCATGTAGCTGCAGTGTGGTTTGGCATAACTCAGCATGCATGTTGCTTGAAACAGTCTGTAGGAACTTACTTTGTCCAACCGAGAGTTGTGGAAGGGGAAGTGGAACTGAGAGTATTGAGGTAGTGAAATGGGAAGTGGATGTGTGTGTTAGATGAGAACACCAAACAGTGGTGCAGGGCTGTAGGACACAGACTCAGGAACTGGGCAGCTTTTTTTTTGTGTGTGTGTGTCTGTGGAAAAAAACGTTACATTTTGATAAAATTATACTTGTATATGTTGGCTATCCCAACTACCTCAGTTTTGCAATAATTACTGAATAAGTTCTAATTATTGCTAGCAATGGCACTTTCAGAAAAGGAGTACGATGGAAGAAAGAGGTAGCAGCCTTCAGGACAGTTATGAAAAGCTTCTTATGTATATGTGACTAATGAAAGAATCCAAAAACATTGGTAGTGATAGTAAATGAATGAGCAAATGAGATTAGTTATTGACATAGCCATGGTTCTTTTTTGTTGGGTTTTTTTCCTTCCTTTGGCAGTATTCCTTGTGCCAAACCTGATACTTTGTTAATACTTCCAGGCACTGGAATTGTTTTTCGTATCTTTAACAGCTGCCTGATGAATCCTAGCACGCAAAAGTTCTGTTCATATTTGTCATCTTCCACTGGAACTGAAAGGTACTCACCTTTACTCACCTCTTTCCTCTCTCCCTCTCTCCCTTTCTTTTCCTTTCCCTGTCTTCCTCGTGGACACACACTTTTAAAAAATAAAGCATCTTACTGCCCTTTATGGTATACTAACAGAATAATTTGCTGCTTTTTGAATTCCCTTTCATGGAAAAGGATAAAAGAACAAGCCTACTGTCTACTCAAGGATATTTTTAAAAATCTATATTAAATGGATTAAGAAATTCTCAATTTGTATTTAAACTATTGCTGATAGGAAAATATATTGTAGTGAAGAAGCCAATCAATCAGAAAACAAAACCTCTCTCTCATTTTGTATACATGTAGTTATGAAGGTGCTAATGGTCACATTTGGGTGTTCTTTGTCTGATATATTTGTTTAAACTAGTGTTTTAAAAGAAATTAATAATTCTCAATGTTCCTGAAGGCATTCAGCTTTTCTTATTGCCATTTAAAGTTATTATGTAAGCTCCCAGTTCAGGAAATAGTCTGAAAAAAGTTCAGAATTACTGAGAAGAATTTAGGCAATCTTTTAGCATGTGCTTTCTTCTGTCTTTACGTACATAAGTGCTTTCTTGGACCAACTGGTCAGTTACTAGTTCAAAATCTATTTCAGAAGCCAATACAGAACTATTGTATAAATCAGCAGACTTCTGTGTAATTACTTCAGGTCTGCATGAGGAAAATGGAGGACTCTATTTGCTCTACTGGACTCTGTTCTGCATGTATTTTTAATCGGCAAAACCAAAATATGCATCCCTTTGGCACATTCTGTTTAGAAAAGTGAATTATCATATTAAAATACACAAGAATATATTGATTTCATAGTAGCATGTTATCCTCAAGAGCTGGCTGTGTTAGGCAGCCACCTGTCTAATTAGATATGGTTCTTTGTTCCATGTGCATGTGCGGTTATCGTAGCAGTGACTTTAGCTTTATCTTAATATAATCCAGGTGGGGTTTAGTTCACATTTAGTTCACATTTAGTTCTTGAGTACAGGGAGCTAACAAAATGAAAGTCTTTGCAAGTGGAACGTTCTCACTGAAATGTTAACACTGAGATTTGATTTTACATGGAAGGTGTATGTAGAAGGTGTGAACAATTTAAAGCTTTTTTCCTTGAGTCGTTACTCTTCCTGAACAAACCAGGAAAAGTGAACAGCTCCTCAGATTAACTTTTTATACTAAACAGGAGAACAAAGTTGTAAAACATGGCTGTGGAAATGGATTGAAATGTGTTGATTTAAAAGTCACTTTATTCACCTTCACTTGGAAGTATCCTAGCAACAAGGTACATTTCAAGCTGAGATGCTATTTCTGATGATCCATACGTGTATTTGGGTTATACCGAGATCTGAAAAGTTTGTGAAAGATGAAAAGATATTTAGAGACAAAGGAAGTTTTGTGTGCATAAGTATATAGACGTGCAGTTGTATTATCTGTGTGTATATGTAATTGATGATGATGATCTCAAAATTCATGATATTTAATATATAAGATGAACTGAGCATGGGTACAGTTTTGGTGGAGGGAGAATTAAACAAGTCAATTGGAATCTACATGTATAAGATGAAATGTAAATTTGTTAAAAGAATTTAGGTGATTAGATAACTGAAGTGTGAAGATATAACCCATTAGGGGTGTCATGCCAAATTAGCATTACCAGACTTTAACGACCTCCCATTTGTATAATCTTTATTTACACTTGCACCTGATGTCTGCAACAGACAAGAGGCCAGCCATCCTGGTACCACAGGGCCATTTTAAATACATTGTGTTGCTAAAGAAGAATATCGGGCTGAAAAGGAAACAGCGCCATGAAAATAATTTTCATAGGGTTACTCTGGTTCTCAGCACTCTGCACTGATGTCGCTTATATCCGTTGAGGAGTAATTTGCCCTTGCATGGCTAGTATCACTAACCCCTTAAAAATTGAGGCATTATTCATTTAAAAGAAAGCTTTAGGGAGAGATAACATCTTGTTTCCACTTGAGATTTCCCACATTCCAGCCTTTGCTGTCCATTGATTTGGCTTAAAGCCTTAAGGTGGACAAGGTGAGGGATGGAACTGTGCAGCTCCTGATGTCGTTCCTGTGCCGTAGACAGAATTTGGTGCTGACAGCAGGATAAGAGATTCCTTCCTGACCTTGGTGGACTTGGCATAGCTTGCAGCTGAGCTCTGGGAAGTGATCTGTTTTGAGATGTGCTGTTCCATTTTTACATGGAAAAATTCTCAGAAAGGGGGCCTACAACAAAGCTGGAGAGGGACTGTTTACAGGGGCATGTAGTGGTAGGATATGAGGTAATGGATTTAAAGTGAAGGAGGGTAGATTTAGATAAGGGATTAGGAAGAAATTCTTCCCTGTGAGGGTGGTGAGGCACTGGGACAGGTTGCCCAGAGACGCTGTGGATGCCCCATCCCTGGAAGTGTTCAAGGCCAGGTTGGATGGGGCTTTGGGCAACCTGGGGGTCCCTGCCCATTGGAGGGGGGGTGGAACCGGGTAGTCTCAAAGGTCCCTTCCAACCCAAACTGTTCTATGATTCTATGATCTAGTTCAAAGCACCCGCCTCCAGCAACTGTTGTCTACTCATGGGTTTTCTCAATTCATAATTCTTGTCTGTGTCTCAGTACATGCATTCATGAACTTACTTATGCAATACTACTTTGAGGTACAAGGAAGTGCTATTGCCATTCTACAAGCAGTGATATGAAGAAGCCATCTGACTTGGGAATATTAGCATGGAAGCAGTCTACCAGTTATCAAGTTTCATCCTTATCCACAATTATGAGAAATGACTGTACAGACAAGAAAACAAACCATTATTTCAAATCTGGTTAATCAGATTATTTCTCTTGTATTTGAGCCTTAAGCCAAAATGTTTTTAGGTCCCTGATGGCTACTTCAGTGGTTCACATTGCATCTT